GCCTGCTGCGGGCAGCCCCTCTCCTTCCTCCACCTTCCTCCGTCCCAGTCACGATGTCGTGGTGAAGCTGTCCTCGGATGTAGCATATTTTTGATATATGGCATGTGATATAAATAGCAGTGAGCTGCATGTGTGTTAGCAGTCAACTATTGCCTCGGTGTTGACATAGTTTGGGTCGCTGCGATGTGCTGCCGGCACTGGAATTGCTTTGATTTGGTCTGAGCGCTGCTGGCGTCCCTGGGTGCTGGCGGCAGCCTGTCCCACACGGCCCCCCCCTCGCTGCAAAGCCTGCCTTGACTTCAGGCAGCCCCGGCATCCCTTGGGAAATGTGCATTACGCCCGGCTCGCTGCTGCCGGGCTCTGGCTGGCTCCGGCACGCCGTGTAGCTTGCTCGGAAACATGCAGGGAAATGCCGGAGTGATCTTACCAAAGTCCTCAGGGAAAAAAATCTAGACGTGAGGGCCTGGGGACGTGGCCGTAAAATGCCTGGACAGGCCAATCGCCGTCAAAACCCACGAACTGCCCTGCTCCGAGGGGGGTTACGCCAGCGTAGCATGTGTGTGCGAGCATCGCCTCTAACTACCAGCTCTCCAAGAGAAAGGGGCCTTTTAATAATTTGGGATTGCATCTGCGTGGCTGGGATTTACTTACAGCTGCAGGCAAGTCAGCCTGTTCTTCTGAGAAAATTCTCCTGCGTATTTCTCAGCCGATACAGAAATAGCAGCCTTGCTTGGCAGTTGCTTACTGACCATAGGCAGTGTGCTGAGATTTTCCTTCCCAGCATAGAATTTGGATTCCTGTTAAAATACAAGGGCTGTAAACTTTCCTAGTACCTGGTGCGCAACCACGTTTTAAACTTTGATAAAGCATCTCCGTTGTTACGAGAGGACTGTGAGCAGTGAGTGCCACAGCTTGTTTCTGTGCAAGTAAAACTTAAGAAAAATCAGAGGATGTTAAAAAAAAAAGCGTCTTCTTTTTCAGTGAGTTTAATTAATAAGTTATCAGGTATCAGTAATTCAGCGTGTACAATTTTAATGGCTTTGTACTTCATACTGGTCCTTCCAGGTATTTTGCCATCGTTTTGAGAGGGACTTTTTAAGGACTTTTATATGTACCTCGGGAGCTGCTGCTGCTGCAGCACCCGGAGAAGAGCCATACTGATGCTGGAGGTTGCTTATGGGATTCCACCGGGCACCGTGGCACGTCAGCGCTGAGCAAAGGGCCGCAGCATCTCTGCGGGGCCCCACTGGTGTCAGCAGCGGAGGAGGATGTCGGGGCTCTGGTAAAGAAACACAGAATGACCCCGTGGGGCCAGGCTGTCATCTTCTGTCAGCCTGCTAGGCAGTTTCGGGAGGTTTTCCTGTATTTCAGTATTGCCTTTTAGGCAAAACACATCTTCAAAAGAGGAGAAACATGGTAGAAATGCTTTGGTCCGGCCCGGCCCCTGCGACTGTTGCTCCACGTCCAGGGTTGTGTTTGCATCCTTTCTGTAGCTGGTTTTCCCTCTGTTATAGCTGTACATATAACTGATGATTATTTCATTAAAGTTGAATGTACCTGTTGTTTTCTTGCCTTGTGATTGAGTGGGCAGCTATGGAGAGATTTTATACATGAAAGGATAAACTCACAGTGGGGCTCTGTTGTGTCCAGCTTTCTTAGGCAGCCATACAGTGAGCAGAAAGAGATCCTAAAGGTGGTAGCAGACCTGAATTCTTTGGAGGCTTGCTCCTCCTGCGCTCTTTTTATAAGATTTCCTTTCTGTTGCCAGCCAGTCATTTCCACCGCAGAGTCCTGGCTGCCCAGGGGCTGCTATAAGGTATTCGTGAAAGATCACAAATCTCCAGTGGCTAAGAAAAGCCGTCCTGCTCCCCAACAGTTAAATTACCTATCAAATGCTCTCTACCACCAGAGGAAAATGTTTGGGGCTCTGCAGACAGACCGGGGTCAAAGCCCGCTGCGCGTGGAGCGGCACAGCTCTTGCCCATCCCACGCGGTTGGTTTGGTTTTCCCTGCGAGCTGCTGGTTCATACTTTCTGCTCCCAAGGCTCCGGGTTGCTATTTCCAGGCACACGGTTTGGTGCTGATGGGGTCCGCGGCGAGGCCGGCACCTCGGGAGGGGGAGCAGCAAGTTCGGTGCTTTGGCACTTTCTGCTGTGGCTCAAATGGGCCCCACACCCTGATAATTTTTTTTGCATAACGTCTTTCATGTAATTTCTCAAGGCACTTTGTAACATACAGAAAATATGGGAAAAAAGTTATACATTTTTTATAGTATTAATACTATTTATTCTGTCAGGTTTACAGAACAAAATATAGACTCGTAACAGCTGCTAATGACTTAATTAAGACTCCCTACTCCTTCATTACGATTAGAGAGTTGAACATTAATAAAACATTTATTCTTTTGGAGAAAGAATGATAAATTTACTATTGCAAAGGAGTACTGGGCCGGGAAACCTGTGAGGACGTGACGGCGTGGTTGTGCCAGAGCACCAAAGGGTGGCCTGGCTTCAGGACCGCGTTCCTCACCGACAGCTGAAATAAACGGGAATGATACATCACCTTGGTTTCTTAATAGCCCCATTCAGATTGCTTTGGGGCCTTCTGGCTTCTTATCCAGGAGTTCGTTGCTTGCTGCCCCTCTCGATTATGGAAGTGGTTGCTTTGCAGCAGAAAGCAAGTGTGTCCACTGAAAAGTTCCTCGTGGAAATTGCTGGTAGACAATGATGGCACAAACAAATGTTGGGTTTTCTTTCCTGCCCTGGGAGACCAAAAGTGCATTAGAAATGCGCAGGTTGCTTAGGGCCAGACCTCCAGCTGCTGAAGGTCGCTGCAGCTCTGTACGCTTCAAAGGACCAAATCTACAGCAGCCAGGAATCTAGCATTTGAATCAAAGGTGCAGTCCCTGCATAAATGATGGACATTTTCATACGTGTCCTTATGTATAAAAATGAAAATCCAGAAGTTGGGGGGGTTTTTTTGGTTTGTGGGTTTTTTTCCACAAATGCATGTAAGAAATTGAGTAAACATGAAATACATGGGAATCCTGTTCTGTGCTTGGGATGGATGGAAGCTGGTCCCTGCTGATGGACCCATGTGTTAGGGGCAGTGAAGCCCTAATAATGCCTGTCTTATAGATACAGGGTTTCAACATGAGTAACTGAAAATGATGAAATGATCCAAGAGAACAGATTGATTTAAATAATTTGCTTTAATATTATTTTACATCGGCAGTTTTATTTCCCAGAGAAAGGGTTCTTGTTAGCTCTTGTTGGGTGGTGTTAAAATAATGAAATACTTTCATTTGCAACCAGATAAAATCTTTACATTAAATGTGATTTTTTTTTTTAAACTAATCAGAGGATGTTATTTCTTATACAGCTATTTAAGCAACCATATAGGTTAACATTTTTTAGCAGGCACAACTTTCACATTTTTTTCTTTTTGCAGAGAATTGTGAAGAGTGCAGTTCTTATGTGCTAAGCGATGGGATTTTTTTCTGCAGCGTGGTGAAAGTCCATTTAGCTGGTAAGTGGATTTCAGCTAAAATACCCAAACCCAGCATTTTAAAATAGGTTTTGTTACATAAAAACTGACAAACATGCTGGATACAAAAGGAGGGGGGAGACATTAGGAAAACATGTTTTGCAATTCAGATTGCTAAGATGAAAGTATCATCTGCAGCTAGAGCTGGCTGGCAGTCACCCCATCAGTCCTCCAGCCAGACCCAGCAGAGATCATCCTTTCCAACCTCTTTAACCTGGAAGAGGAGACCCCCCCCCGCCGAGGTGGGTGCCCCATCGGGGTCCCTTCTGCAGGTACCGGTGTCGGTTCGGGTGCTGCCCTTCCAGCGCCACGTCCTTACCGGTGCAGGGACACACCGAGCATTGCTTTGCCGTTGTCCCGGAGCGCAAATTTTCATCTTGCGAGGGATGTCAACTGCGATCTAACGACAGTCATTTCGTGTCACGTTCGCTCTCGCTGCTTGCCGTTCTAACGAAGACACGAGGCTGAGGTGCCGGTGCGTCAAGGCTCCGTGCTGTGACAGCTCCGTGTGATGCGAGACTGGTGAGGTGGCAGCTGGGTGGGAAGCGCAACCGCTCCGACTCCTACGGTGCTT